TTGCAAGTCCACCCTCGATATGCAATTGGGCTCGACCCATTTTTGTCCAATTTGCAAGTCCATCCTCAACACGCAATTGGACTTGACTCATTTTTGTCCCGCTTGCAAGTCCATCCTCAACACACAACTAAGAGGCCGTCAATTTTGTCCTAGTTATAACTCCACCACCGACGTGCAATTGGGGACCCCATCTTTTTTTTGTTTTAGTTGCAAGTCCAACTACACCCCTGATATGCAATTGGGGAGGGGCATTTTTTTGTCCCATTTGAAAGTCCACCCTCGATACGTAACTAGTGCCCTGACTAATTTTGTCCCAGTCCAAACTCCATCCTCGATACAAAACAGGGTGGCCGACCCATTTTGCCCCAATTGCAAGTCCAACATCTACATGCAATTGCGTGCCCACACGAGACATAAATTAAGGGCGGGAGGAGGGTTGTCGACCAATTGGATATCCACATTTTAAAAATATTCATGATATTTTTTCATTTTCATATTTTTTATACATAGTATTGAATATTTTTTTAAAATCATTATTTTTTAATTCGCATTAAAAAATCATGACATTTTTTGGAATTCATGGGCATTTATTTACTTCATGAACAATTTTTGTATTCACTATTTTTTTTTTGAATTCGTGAACATTTGTTTTTCAAAATTTTAATTCATGAACTTTTAAACATTTTCAAACAATGTTTTATTTCACCAAACATTCAGAATCAGTATAGAACACTTTCTTTTACCGAGAAACCAAACCTATGAACTAAAGCGAGCAATGCATAGTTGACCAAGCTGAATAGGAGTTCTCGAAGCAATAACCTGCAAAACAAGCCAATGCACTATAGCCCATCCCAAATGGCACGGGTAATCAAGGCTTGATAAATGCGTCAACATAGAAAAATACAGAGCTATATGATGAGTCAGTGACCATATAATCACCAATAGTTGTACATGTTGACTGTATTCTTAAGTACAATGACCCAAGTGAGCTTGTGAGACAAGTACATTGACTGTCAATGCATTTTACTCTTTGTAGAGCTAACAAATGCATGTGCTCTGATGACTTAGGAAGCTGGTGATGGTAGTTTGCCGAACTCTCATTTTGCAGAAAATCTAGAGAAGTTTGGGCATTTTAAGAATTTGGTCACTTTTTTGCTTTTGGGGAGAAGTTCGGCCTTGTTGTAGTTCTGGGCCTCCAGTTCTTCAAGCTTGAGGACTCCAGTATATTTCTGAGCTAAACCACCATGTGATATGATCAACATATTGAGCTCTTAATTCAGGTGTTGGATAGCACTCGAAAAAAAGTTCTTGTGCTGGATTGTGTTGTTAAGTAAGAAACTACTGCAAACTGCGTGTAGCTCAGATGGTTAAGTTTCTTCTGGTGAACTAAAGCCCATCAGGGTTTAACTCTTAAATTTGGCACTAGTGCTCGCATCTTCCTTGTTGGTGAGTGTATGTGTTTATATGAATGCTTGCGTCCGCATTGTTCTATGAGAAAAGAAAATCGACATATTGTTTCTAACTGTATAAGGTTACTCTGAACTCTATGGAGTAGACGATCAAGCTGGACTCGAGTAAGCCGTTATGCTGGAGCGATTTTGTCAGCAGTCGTTGTTACTCACTCACTCAAGTACGTACTCAACTTGTGATCACAGAGCTCGTACGCATCGCGCTTGCGTAGCCCAGAAATTATACGCCTCCTCCTCTTCCCTCCCATCGAAATCATCATGCCTCGACAATTGTCGCGCTATCCACTAGCATGTCATACGATGACGAGACTCGGAGCGTCACGTCATATCCCCACATTGTTTGGGCACCTGCCCAGGATGGTCGGACCCACCAGAACGGACGGCGGTGATCTACTCAACAGATCCCTCGGCCCCTTGGTCACGAAAATAATCAGGGCGATGCATACTCCGTCGGTACAACGTAGCTTTCTCACCTACGCCGGCCCATATTGACCACTTGCACAATCGGCTCACCGGACAGCCACTCGCAGCTTTCGTCGACCATTTTGCCTGCACACCTTTGCAGAACTTCTTTAAATTTCTTTTCAGAGCCCAGAAAGAAGCTAGGCACAAAGACACCTTCACACACGTATACACACCCACGCGTGCACGTCTTGTGGTCACACCATGTAATTGGACTGGTGTACAGTAAACCTATAATTGCAACGATGGCTGGCTGGCTGCGACACACAATCGAGTTCCCCACGGGCGAGAGAAAATCCTTATCAGAATTACTTGCAAGGGAAACAAGCGCGGCTAGGCCACTCATGTCGTTGGGAGAACATGGTGGGCAAAGGCCGGCCAAACAATCCATAATTCGTTCTAAAGGGACCCGGCCGATCGACGCCGGTTGCCCACCAACTCAGGCATCATCGACCGGGATGTTGGCTGCCTAGCACTGACATCCATGACCTATCTTTTGTTCACAAGTCAAATGATACTAGCGGGAAGACCCGTACATATAATCCCATATCAGTCCAAACATGAGTATTTTTTTTTTGCGAGATAGTCCAAACATGAGTATTATAGTGCTTCTGAAATTTTGGAAACGGGTTTGCAAAAAATTAGTCGACTGAGATTTAACGAAGTCTTAGTCAACCTTGCAGCATTTTGCCCCATTGTATGCAACATTTTTTTCCTGCCGGTGGCAGCATCCAATCTTGCTAGTTGTAGCATGTCATCCTTCGTCGATTGTAGCACGTCATCTCACTGGTCGCAACATCCTCCATTGGCAGTTGTAACATTTTTTGTCAGAACGGTTGCAGCATATGTTGTCATTGCTTGCAATACTATATCAACATTTTTCATCGCCGTTAGATTGCAAGATGACGGTTAGATTAGCTTATTAAACCTCTAGCCATCCTCTTGCTCATCTTTTTCCCCTCAACCGCCCCACGTACCACTGGCCTAACCATCGGCCACCGCCACCTGCGGCCGGCGTGCTCCCGCGCCGCCGCCCCGTTCTTCCCTTAACCGTCTCCCACCGCCGTGTTGTCGTTGCCCTCAACCATCCCTCTAACC